GCTGGGGCAGTCTGAGAGACCATGTGCTGTCTCTTTAAGGCATTCACACCAGAAGGCTCAGACTGCAGCAGCTGAGCTCTCCTGCTCCTGAGCCCTGTCCCCTCTCCCCCGCTCTGCAGAGATGGGGTACATGGCAGAGGGGAAGCGGGGATAGGGGGACACCCTGACATCAGCGCTCCCCTCCCCCGCCACTCTGCACAGGAAGATCCCAGGAGCAGGAAGATCCCTGGAGCAGCTGGCCAGAGGCTCCAAGGCAGAGGGCAGGTGCAACATGGCTGCAGAGCAGCAGAGGGAGGGGCACCTGAACACATGCCGCCGTGTGCAGCTCTGCTAATCACGTGCACGGCACTTGAGTCGCTCTGTAGGAGCAGAATTTTATAATTGTACTATAAAAATTAATGTATAATTTGATTTCATCCTGCCAGCCACCCTTTTTAAATAGCAAAAAGAAATAACCCTCTGGGACTATGGGATTCTGTTTCCCATATGCATTACAAATTGGGCCCTTTTAGTTCTTTGTTTTGAGGTTTAGTTAGTAAAAGACAGAATCCTGTATTGTGTCTATGTTAAGTAAATTAAAAAAATGTTAAAGGCCTGGGCCTCAAAGTAAATTGTTTTGGTTATAAAACTTTGCAAGGTTTAATTTACGATGTCTTTTTGCTCAATATAAAATACTGCTGTTTGTATTCTCAAAGGTCTCTATAAAAAACTGTTTGTATAAATAAAAAATGCATGCATCAAAAAAATAAAATGTAGAGGCCGTTAGTAACCAAATGGTCAATAAAATAAGATAAAATAAAACACTTATCAAAACTTATTAATGCCAAAAAACCATTAACACGCATCCATAATTCAAAAAGGGCAAATTAACAACCTTAAGGCAAAGGCTAGCACCCCTAAAAAGAATTAATTAAATCAAATCTAAAACAAAATAACCCTCTCAAAGATGTTTTAAAATGTTTACATCAAAAAATGACACCAATTAAAAAGTAACTGGGCATAAACTAACACAGCAAAATCCATAAATGTCAACAACAAAAAAACCCTATAAAAACAAAGTGCTTTGTCAAGGAACCTTGGGTTCATCTTGCCACTATTCCAAAAGCATCAAATCGCAACCAACAAAGCCCAGCTCCCTCTGTCGCCAATCTGGCTGGCCACTAGATTGATCCAAACTCTAAATTGGTAACTACACCTCTACCCCAATATAACGCTGTCCTCAGGAGCCAAAAAAATCTTACCGCGTTATAGGTGAAACCGCGTTATATCGAACTTGCTTTAATCCGCCGGAGTGCGCAGTCCTGCCCCCCCGGAGTGCTGCTTTACTGCGTTATATCCGAATTCATGTTATATCAGGCCGCGTTATATCGGGGTAGAGGTGTATAAACATCAACTGGCAAAACTGTGCATGGTGTGTGTGTAACTAAAAAGCATATGCTAACTGCTGTATTCTCAATAAATGCGGCATGTTGCCTTCTCCCCTATAAAAAAAATCTCATGTGCTTTGTTTAAGCATAACAGCTCCTGGGCGGCCATGCAAGCGCGCAGCTTAGGGGGAACACAGAACCAGAGCCTTTTATACCCCACTTCTTGTAACCTGTTGGATATCTAACCACATTGGCCACCTTCTGTGACCATAACAAGATTGATACCAGTCTATTATCCATATGTGGCCTTTTGGGTGTCCCTAGCCAAGCCCCTAATTATTACTATTACTAAACTGCATCACACAGTTCTTAATCATTCCTATACATAAACACATTTTAACCACCTAGTTATTGCATAGCAGCTAGATCACTAAAGCCTCCCCACAAACTCCATTCTTACACAACTGCTGTGTGCTGTCCACTTGTGGATATTTGTGTCTCTTTTTTCAGAATGAGTGTGCAGAATTTAATACCTGGGATTATTTCTTGGGCCTACTAGATTTCAGCTTAATAACCCAATTATGTGTGTTCTCCTATTTGCTGTTACAGCTTTCATAATTTCCATTAAACATGCTTACCAAAGGAATCAAAGCCCAAAGACTATGAACCCTCCAAGATCAAGTCAGCGTCAACAGTCGCCACTCTCCATATCTTTGCCCTAGATTAACTTTTGAGGTTGTTTGAAATTACACAATTCATTTTTGATCCATGTGCTGCTTTTGAATTTTATGATCGGCTGAATTTTAGGGAAAGCTGAGACCCTTCATGTCTTTTCACAAGAGGAGGAGGCAGGATATTTTTTGTTGTACTGAGCTTGTGTTGTACTTTTATGTAGTGTTGTATTAATTGAACTTTTACATAGTGGTATGTTAGTTGCTGTGGTGCTGCTGTAGAATGTTCCACTTGGCGGAGGATACCATTGATGATGGAAGTTTGGAGACACTACTTACTCTGATTTACATCTTTTGGAGTGTTTTCCTAAACTATTCATGCATTTTTTTTTTTAATTTAGCTTTGTTCTGTTAATGTTCTGATTTACCATCAGAGACTTAGAGGTGATTCAGACCTTTTTCCTTTTATTTTTTTGCCAAATTCAAAATGTTCACTGAGTAGGGTTGCAGAAAGCATTACGTGTTTCTCCAGTACTTTAAAAAAAAATTTAAGTGCTAGCACAACAGGAATTTAGTATTGTGGTGCAGTGGTTCTCAACTACGGGGACATATATGCCTAGTTTTACAACAGGCTACATAAAAAGCACTAGCAAAGTCAGTACAAACTAAAAGTTCATACAGGCAATGAATGACTTTTTTTGTAGTCCTGGGTAGCTTTTGTTTTTTATTTCTATTCACAGCATTGATTTATCTGTATTGCAGTAATGTCAAGAGGCACCAATTGAGGGTCGCAACTCATTGTGCTGGTGCTGTACTAATAAGTAAGGCTATGATTTAGTCATAGGTATTTTTAGTAAAAGTCGTGGACAGGTCACTGGCAATAAACAAAAATGAATGGCCCGTGACCTGTCCATGACTTGTACTGTAAATACTCCAGACTAAATCTTAGCTGGGGGGCCATGGGGCAGGGAGCCACTGCTCGGGGGTGGGGTGGGGTGCTGCAGGGCAGGGAGCCACTGCTCGGGGGCCGCCGATCAGTGGCTGCTCCGGCCACCCCCAGGGCTGCCCACCCGCCGCTGTTCAGGCGGTCCCCGGGGCCGGCTGCACCCGCCGCTGTTCAGACGGTCCCTGGGGCTGGCAGCCTGGAACTGCCTGAGCAGCGGCCAATGCGGCTGGCCCTGGGGCCACTCCAGTAGCAGCCGGTGCGGCTGGCTGCGGAGCTGCTCCAACAGTGGCTGGTCTGGCTGTCCCTGGGGTCTCCTGAGCAGCTGGCCCTGGGGCAAGCTGCTTGGGGGGCCCCTGGGGTCAGCCACACTGACCGCTGCAGAAGTCACGGAGGTCGTGGAAAGTTACGGAATCCGTGACTTCTGCGACCTCCATGACAGACACGGAGCCCTACTAATAAGCAATAAAAAGACAATTCCTACCTTAACGAGCTTATAGCATAGGTTATGACAAGATGCAGTTGATGGATGAGATAGACAAGTGGATGTTTGTGGGGAGGGAGAGGATGAGGCGAGGCAAGTTAAGTGAGTACATTTACTGTACATTAAGCAGAAGTATTAGCTCACTACCAGGCTTTCTGTGGTCAGCTGATAAAGATTTGTAGTCACTGCAGATTATTTGTGAGATTCTGGCCTGAATGGCTCAAACAGGGTAATGGGGTATTAAACACGTTGGTGAATCTAGGATTGTATTTTTCATCTACTGCTTCCTTGTTTTTTGTCCTCCAAAGTAACGGCCAGATCATGCTATCATGGCACTCTCTGGAGTACAGTGTTGGCTTATTTGGGTGGGGTTACATCAGTTAAATAGTGGTATATTGACATTTGTGTCCCTTGCAGATATAAAGATATAAAACTAAGTTTTACATAATATATTTTAAATAAGCCACATTTTAAAATGAAAACATTTGACTTGACTCCTTCTACCTTAAGGATAACTATGTGTTCCAGTTGGATTCCACAGTAGTTCTAAAACAAATTGGTCTGTGTGTAGAAGTATCACAAAAAAGTGAGAGTTGAGTTTTGCTGTTAGGGACCTAAACAGGAAGGATATGGGGAAGTGTATTTAGATTCACTTCTGTGCTGCATGTCCCCTTTACTTACGTTATTTGGGGCATAGGGCGCACAACCTTTTATTTAACTTGTTTTTCACACACATTTGCAGTTCTCTTTTAGGGTTAATATCCATGTTTAACTTATTGCAGTTGTCCATAACTTGTTTTATGGTTTACGTATTGCAGCATTAAGACATGCTGAAGAAAAGACCACTGATCATGTGGTTTTAATAGAGAAAATTCAGGAAACTGACAAGCTGAGCATCTTTAATACTTGAGTGTATTTTAATAGTATTCAAAAGACTGTTGTTTTTTTTGTTTTTTTTTTTGTTTTTTTTTCATTTCTGACAATTTTGAAATCTTGGAATCCGAGATATGATATATTTCATTTTGTTGTTTCAGGATGAAAGTAAAAAAACTGCCTATGATTCTGGCTCTCCATCTGAAGAGATTTAAATACATGGATCAGCTACATCGATATACAAAACTCTCTTATAGAGTAGTGTTTCCTTTAGAGCTTAGACTTTTTAACACTTCGGGAGATGCCACCAATCCTGACCGAATGTACGACCTTGTTGCTGTAGTAGTTCATTGTGGGAGGTAATAAAAAGTTTGTCACATTGGGGTTCTTGTATGAAATTATTAACATTGTGAAAGAAATCCAATATCACTTAATTTAAGTAATCTCTAAAATGTTTTAAGAAATTATGTAGCACAGAAGGAAACATTGCAGAATGTATTTGCCTTTAAATAAGTTCTTCAACAAAAGATACGTTCAGATTTTAACAGAATTTTTCCTGGAACAGTTTTGTATGTTTTTTTAAATAGGCTGATTTTGTCTCTTCTCCCTGCTTCTAAAGCTTTCAAGATCATAGTATTATGCGAGTTGATGGACGTTTAAGAAGTATATTCTATTCTTAAAGTTTGTGCACTTGTGTTCTAATTTTACTTTTCCAGCATAGGAGCCACAAATGGAACACTGATCACACATCTACCATAAGATTGCCTCCTGTGGTTGGAGGTTGGGGTGCCATTATTCAGTCAAGGCAGTGCTGCATCTGCTTTATTAATCTGCTTAAGTGGTTAATGGGACCTGCCAGTTTCCAGCTGGCTCTGAGGGAGTGTGCTGTTTTGCTGATAGAATAATGTAACAAAATCCTGGGTGGACCTTTTTGTCTACAAACATCAACTCAGTGACCTCTAGATGTCCCCTTCCCCAGAGCTTTCATCTCATGAGTCAGTGTGATTTACAGATGATTTGCAATAGACAAATGAGAAAGGAAACTGTTAGAGTATTCATAGTTAAAATTCAGTTCCAAGCCTAACCGATTGAGATGCAAGACATTTTTTAACGTCTTCTGCTGTGTCTGTTCAGGAGGTAAAGAATTATTTTGTCTCTGCCTTAATCTACAAAGTATTGCACAGTGGAACTGTTGTAGGTGGCCTTCATTTTATTGTGTAGTCAAGTTGTTGCTATGAGGAGTTTTCATATTGCTTTGTGAATAAAATTACTCCTCTTAACCAACTCTATCTGCTTTCAAAGCAATTTCTTATGAGAACAGGCACACACAATCATCTCTGCTTGAGTTTCGATGTGCCTCATTGAGTCCTGGCTGTGCTGGGGTGCTTCAGGTTACAAATATTGAGTTGAACCTCTGTCCATCCTGGCTGGTCAAGTCCATGACCTCCTGTTGCCTCACATAAAATTTGGGACAGCATTATACATAAGAGACAGATCAATAATACTGATGGAACAACTCCTCCAAGTCCCCCTATTTTCATGGGTTTAGAATATTCTTCAAAGTTACATTTCTTGGTATTGGTCTCACCCAGAATCCAATTTGGTGTGGAAAGTTTGATTTTTCTTTTTTTCCTATTCAAGCCCCCCCCCCTTTTTTAATAAAAAATGTTCTATTTTTTTTGTCCCTAGTTCCGTCAATAAAGCCTTCACATGAAACAGCCTCTCATTTATGTTGTCACTGCTTGTCCTACTTCTTCCTCATTTAATCCTCTGTTTAGTATAATATTTGGCATCATGATGACTAATGCCTTGTTTTCATGTAAATGTCCTTGGTAACATAAAGGGGAATGAATATACAAATAGAAATACAAATAATCAGCTTAATTTTTACTAAATGTTTTTTTTTGGGGGGGGGGGGGAAAAGCAGCTCTAATAAAATAGACATGCATAATGTAAATTTTTTTTTAATACAGTGGCCCTAATCGAGGACATTATATTGCAATAGTGAAGAGTCATGATTTTTGGTTGCTCTTTGATGATGATATTGTAGAGGTAAGTGTTGCTGTAACTCTGGTGTTTTTACTTCTTCTAAACAAAAGTCTCTCCCCATCCCAACACCCCATTTATGATCACTTAAAGATTAAAAGGAATGGTGCGCTGATACTTTGAAGATAAGAAATATCTTCAGCTACATTTCCTTTCTCTCCTAAACTAGAGAGATTCAGTCCTTGTTCTTTGAGTACAGTCATGTTTATTTATTGGAGGAGGAGAAAGTAGAGCTGTTTGTTCAAAATGTATATATTTTTGGATCAATTTCCAGAGGAATTGCTTTTTACCAAAAGAAGAAAAATCTGTGCTAGGGAGAGAGCTAATAGTCATAGCTTAGATAGAGGTAACTCTGCCCGAAAAATTTGCTAAGTTTTCGTGCCTATCCTCCATTACAGTCTTCTCTGTAATATCTCTCAACCTCACGGGTAGATTAGAGTCTTTCAGAGAAGTACCTGAGACTCTGCAACTCTGAATCAAGCATGATGATTAATGGCAGATCTCTTTTTCTGCTTTTGCCACCTATGACCTTCACCTTTTCCTGGCAGGGAGGGAAAACTCTCTCAAACAAAACCACTCTTCCCATATGAGAGATGCCAGGGCCAAAGTGGAGGTCACATAACATTGGAAAGTATGGTCATATATCCCTCTGTAGTGAGTCTGCTGAACTAAACCTTTGACGAGGCCAGGTGGGACAGCCAATCCTTCCATTATTTGTTTTTCTTCTCTCCCAATACCCCTTGATCTAAACTCCATTACTCTGGTTGTTAGTGCCTGGTAGTAGTAGGGCCTGCTTGTCCAAGTTTTCTTTAAGGAGACTAAGATTCCCCACTGTCTTCTCTAATCCCTACCTTGACTTATGATAGAGATCATACAGCTTTCTTCATTGGAGGCTTTTGGAAGAGGGTTCTTTGAAGGATGCTGCTCTCCCCTTTCCCAAGCCCTGTGTGAAAACAACTTGTGAAGCTTTTGGGACCATTTCTCTCTCTACTGTTATGTCACCAAAGGGCTCTCTCTAGTTCATATAAAGAAAGAGACACTCCTAACCCTAACCCTGTACCAGAGCATAATTTTTTTGCCACAAGAATTTAATACACTGGTGTAAGTGGAGTCTTCAGTCTTGGATTTACTGTGGAGTGATTCTTAGAATCAAAAGGCTCATAGGAAGAGATGTTAAGTCGTAAGTGAATCCTTCTGTTGCCTTTTCCATAAGGAAAGCAAAGGAAATTGAATCATGGAAGAAGTCAGATTCTGACACTGCACTCTCAAAAGAAATACAATTTCCAGTGCAATGCACTGATTCTGCTAGGAAGCATATTGACAGCATTCTTCTTGTCAGTGAAGAAGTAAGCCCTTCCAATGGCTAGCATAATGTCCCAGAAATAGTAGTGTGACAGGAAACTGGAGTCCGACTTGAAAACCATGTGCATGTCATCAGCTGACTCTGCCATAGCATTGTACTATAAGTTCCTGGGCATTTGTTTTCAAATCCTCAGCTGCTGAAATATCAGTGTGTTCCAGGAAGATGATAAAGGCCTGCATGAATCTTTGCTTGTTTTCCTACTTCTTTTACAATTCCTTTTTGGATAAGGTCATCCTGCTCCTCTCTTCTGGTCATTAATGTCACTGGATAATCCTGTAGCAAAAGACATGGCAGGTAGAGCGGTAGATAAAATGGATGCTTACTACTACTCTCTTTAAGGGCAAGAGACTTTTTGGACAAGCATTACTCCAAGCCCTTTAGGGATACAGGAATTGACATACTGGATCAGAGCCATGGTCCAACTAGTCCAGTACCCTGTCCTTGACTGTGGCCATCACCAGATGCTTCAGAGAAAGATGCAAGAAATCCCATAGTAAGCAGATATAGAGTCACTTGTCCCTCAGGAAGGTTTAATTCTAATTCCTAATAGTTGGAGATTGGTTTAACTGTTGAAGTATGAGGTTTTATGTTCTTTCCAATAATTTTTATTAGTTTTAACTGTAGTAATTTTGGATATTCTTGTTATCCATATAAACTCTTTAAATCCTGCTAAATCCTTGGCCTCAACAACATCCTGTGTAAATGAGTTCCATACTCTAATTAAATGGGTGGAAAAAGTATTTTCTTTCATCAGTTTTGACTTTGCCACCTTTTAGTTTCATTGGATAGTCCCTTATTCTTGCGTTGTGAGGCAGAGACAACAGAAGCTCCTAATGTCCGTTCTCTATTCTATTCACACAACAAAAATTAAGGATAGAAATCAGCTTCTGTGGAGAAGCGATTAAAAAGACTGGGACATTTCAGCTTGGAAAAGAGACTACTAAAAGGGGAATGTGATAAAGGTCTATAAAATTGTGAATGGTGTGGAGAAAAGTGAATAAGGAAGTGTTTACTCCTTCACATAACACAAGAACCAGGAGTCATCCAGTGAAATTATTAGACAGCAGGTTTAAATAGACAAAAGGAAGTACTTTTTCACACAACCTGTGGAACTTGTTCCCAGGGGATGTTGTGAAGGCCAAAACTATAATGGGGTTCAAAAAAGAATTAGATCTGTTCATGGAGATAGGGCCATCAATGGCTATTAGCCAAGATGGGCAGGGATGGTGTCCCTAGCCTCTGATTGCCAGAAGCTGGTAGTGGATGACAGGATATGAATCACTTCATGATTGCCTATTCTGTTCATTCCCCCCAGAGCACCTGGTATTGGCCACTGTCGGAAGACAGGATATTGTGCTAGATGGACCATTGGTCTGACCCAATATGGCCATTCTTATGTTGTTTATGCTTCTATCATGTCTCCTCTTATTTTGTCTCCTGTCTTTTCTAAGTTAAACTGTCCCAGTCTTTTCTCTCTTATAGGAGTTTTCTTGTGCACCTAAATAATTCTTGTCAGCCTTCTGAACTTCCTCTAATTTTGCAATATCCTTTTTTTGAGATGGTATAACTAGTATTGCATATAGTATTTCAGATGAGGCCATTGTGTTGATTTATGACTTCATTTTTCTCCTTATGCACCCTATCATCTTGATTGTTTTTTCTTTAACCATAGCTAAACTCAATAGAGGTCTTAATTGAACTGCCCACAGTGATGCCCAAGTCTCTTCCTTGAGTTCATAGAGTTCATTTAGAACCTATAAGGTGTATTAGTAGTACATATTTTTCTCTACAATATGCAAGAACTGCTTAATGAAAAAGAACACTTTGCTTGAGATACCAAGAGGTCAGTCTTCCCTTTCAGTTGCTGGAACCAGTCAGGCTACTGAAGACGTCTTCCTTGGGAGGAGGGGGGGGGTTTGAAAGATGATTGATGGGTGGTCTCAGTTGTCCTGACAGGATACTCAGTGGATTTTAAGATACCGCCACAGAGTTAAAGATTCACTCGCCCACTAGTAAAATGGATGGTGCTAGGACAAGCCTTGCAACCGCTCAAACATCAAGGTATCTATCTCACTAGAACCTGAGCGAGAATGTTTTTCAGGAATTTACTGGAGCTTGCATTCCCAAAGAAGTCTGGCTGGTACTTGATCTTAAGTAGCTCTATTTGGTGCTTCAAGATGGAAATGATCCAATTAGTCATCACAGCAGTGGAGGCAAAAGATTAGATTATATCTAATTGATCTGAGGAAAAGAGTGCTTATTTCCACATTCCTGATGTATGAAATATATCTGTGGCTTTTTCTGAATCAGTTCTTTTTGCCATATTGCCTTTAATTTGGCTTCAGTTTCTGTTTTCCCAAAAATCATCATGATGGTGATAGTATCTGGCAGCTCTTTGCATCCTGCTCTGTATCACAGACTAGAGGCTCTTCATCCAATTTAAGTGTCCATGGTCCTGGTAGCTCATAATTTTTTAAAGAGCCAGTTGACCTTTTCTCCTCTTAATTCTCATCCCCCATCACTGTCTAAGTTGGTCTACTTTATTACATTCTGATTAGTCCTACTTATAAGTTCAGTGCTGATTCTAAGTTCTTATATGTGCATAGCCCATGCTGAGTTTTGGCCCCTCATCAAAAAAAAAAATCTTGGTATTATCATTATAAATCACCTTTCTATGTGGGGAACCTATCAGATGTTTGTATTCATGGTTAGTCCATTTATTAGTATTAGATGTTCAAGTTACTTAAATTAGACACAAGATGGGCTGCTATGGAGGAAAGAAGATTTGGAATTTAAAAACAAAACAAAACCTTAAAAGCCTTAACTCTTCTATAAGCTAGGTTATCTGGAGAAAGGTAATTAACAGATGAGACCAAAATATTTTGTCACTGTTTCACAAAGTGTAATTTAATAGAATATACATTTATCATAGTATATTTTTTTCCTTTAAAAATTAGTGTTTGTATTTTGTTTTCTGTAGAAAATAGATGCACAAGCTATTGAAGAATTCTATGGGTTGACATCAGACATTTCAAAGAACTCTGAGTCTGGTTACATTCTCTTCTATCAGTCTCGGGATTGAATGGGAACTGTGGTGAAGAGAGATTTTATGCCTCGTTTCTTCTCTGGCTATGTTGGAATGGAGCAAGCACTGATTTAAAAAAAGGAATGCAGGGAGCTCCAGGGACAGTAGCGCAGTTTGCACACAACAAAGCAAAGTTTTGATTTTTTTTTTTTTTAAACCCTTCATATCAAGTTCATTTTATTTGCTCAGGTATCATGCTGACTACACAATTCTACTACAACTGCTAGGAGAAAAGAGAGATACCAGCCACTCTTGCAGGAGCAACCTTCCAACAGTTGACACATTTTCTCTTTTTAAAGTCCTGAGTCAGAGCCCCTTAAAATCAATGGAGAGACTCCCATTGATTTCATTGGGGTTTGGTTCAGGGCTAATTGCAACAATCTGGCAGTGCAATAGAAGCAATATAAATCTGGTGTTTTATACTGATTTCTTATTTGAAAAGACAGAGAATTCTTTGTGCAGTAATTTGTCTGTATTCAATTCTGAAAGAATATGGTGGGCAGGGTTTTTTTTTTGTTTGTTTGTTTGTTTTCCTGGGTTCTTTCATATATAAACAAGAAATATACTTGGGACAACACAGTTGCCTTCTTGACGGTAACAGATTAACTGAAAAGATAAACTAGTGTCAGGGAGGCCAAGTATGTTTTGCTTCTCTGAAGAAGCTTACATTATAGTAATATATACCTATACTGTCGGGAACAATCAGTAAAAATTATGGCTTTTAATCTCCCTATGGAGAAAGATGGGGTTATTAATAATAGTTTATTTTTATTTATGAATTACTATAACTACTAGGGTCCTATGTATTGTCTTTGAGTATAACCAATCTTGAACATAATTTTATATATTAATTTGAATTAGATTTACTTATTCCATTTAAGTGGGTTTTTTTAGGAAAGACAAATTCTAAATAAAATGCATAAAATATCTTTTAAAAAATTGGTAATACAGAAGGGGTATTTTCTCATTCAGGAGGAACTGGTATCTGGGTTAATGTTTTACATTGTTTAATTATTAAATTAAAATTTGAATCTGTTTTTACTCTGATGAAAAAGCCAAACTGTAAAATGTTTCCTGTAGCTGTCTGAATGATGATTGTAAGAATGCTTATCGTAATGAAATGGTGGTGGTGTACCCCAATTCTTACTGTTCTTTATTCATTAAGGGTCCATACTCTAAATAATTTGTTAGAAAAACCCGGATCAAAATAAACAGTTTTCAAAATATCATTTCCTCCTCAGAAAATTGATCCATTCAGACTCCCAACAGCCTGGGTGACTTTCAAAAAGCTCTCCAAATATGAAATGAAGTTGATGATAAATGAAATAATCTAGGAATGTAAAGGGAAATCAGTGTTTTGAGATTTTTTTCAAGTCCTTTGAGGTGAAATTTTCTGAAATTAAAGTTTTACCTTGCTTTGGGTTTATGAAACAGCATTAAGATTTAAATAATAGCACCACCAAGTAATAGATGTAATAAGAAATATGTGAAATGTTGTGATTTGATATTTTTCCATGCATCAGTTTGTTGTCTGACAGTGGCTGAATGTAATTTCTGGAAAATGATGGAATACATATTTCAGATTATGGCGATCAGGTCTTGGATGTCCTTGTCATCCCATTTCAGATGGTGATTTTTACTTTATTGTAATTTTCTAAGGTTATTTTATTGATATTGTTGAAACCTTTAAAAAGAATGTCTGCTGCTATAACTAATATATTTACTTACCTGTATTTTTAACTCAGGAAAAGACTTCACCTATTCATTCAGTTGAACAAATTTTGAACAGGGTCACTAAGTAAATTGGGCTATTTAACAAATATGAAAGAAAATTCTTGTCATATTATAACAGATTGCTTTTATAAATGCAAAGTTTCTGAAGCCTTGGCTTGGCTGGAATTCTTTTCTATAAATTATGTAGCTTGGCTAAACTACCAGCATGCAAAGAAAAGCATAACAAATATTTTGGGAGAGGCATAAAAATAATGGATTGGATATTTTTAAGGGCTTATACCAAATTATTTTAGAACCTAAATCTGTTTTTCTAGGTTTCAGTGGGAAAAGAGTGAGGGGTGAATCAGTTGGACCATAGTACATGTCAGAAAGATGAAGTTCCTTGCATTAAATGTACAGCTTTGTAAAACCATTGTCACATTAGTTTTTGTTAACTGATAAAAGTTTGCTCAGTCATTTTACAGTTTTAAAAAATGTATGTAGTTAAAAGCCAAGCTTAGTTGCTAAACACATTGTAATACGGTAACAAAATTTAAAGCATTTTTGTTTTACTGGTAGCCACAGGATATTTTGCTTTACTCCTGCGACATATTTTTATAAAATGGTGATTTATTTTGGATAGGGTTTTTTGAGATTGTGGTTCCAAATGATGGATTTAATTTCACTTCTAGTGCAGCTGAAAAATGTAAGTAAATTCTTGATAAAATCAATACCAGAAACTACAGGCAGAGGAAATACAAAATGTAACTGAACAATATAAAAAGCATTATAGGATTACCTCTTGATTGTAATTGCAATGGGGAGTGTGAGAAGAATCTTCACTTGTAAATGGTGGAAATGATTTCTGTGTAACTATGTAAATGTTAATTGGGATGACAGGTCCCCTATTTTGTATATTGGAGCAAAAACTTCTATTAAATAATAAAATATGTTCTCTGAACGTAAGTACTGTATTCTTTGTATAGCCCTACTGTTGAGTCACATGGTCTCTGGTGCTTTTGTAATGTTCTTGAAACTTGTAAAAATGTCTAGAATTTCCTGCTTTAAGGAAGCAGCCATGAGCCATAGAGGAGAGAGTAAGGTATTTACACTGTAGTGGTCTTAGCAATGAGGTCCTATACTTAGCTTAAAGGATAAAGCCTGACTTCTGAGGCCTTCGGCTTCCTCCTTGGTGCCCGACCCCAAAACCTGCCTCCCTTTCAGTCAGGTTCCCCTTCCCTTGGGATCCGCCAATGATTGCTCCAGGAGCAGAAAATAAATAAATAAAAACCAAAACTGTTCTTATGATCACCCCCGCCTTCTGTAGCTGTGATCACTGAACACTCTCCCTTTACCTTTATCATTGCAGAATTATTTACTGTATTATACTGACCCTTCAACCAGCCCTTAAATGTTTTGTCCAGGCTTCCTAATTCTTTTAGGATCAAGACTCAGTTTAAGCAGTAATTCCTTTAACAAGGTACATTTTAAAATCATCTTTGATGTTACTTACCTTTAGAGCTCTTTATTTAAACGAAACCGGTTTCTAGATGTGTGTACATTTGGTGTGTGTATGTGTACAAACATTGAATCCAGCCAGGCCTAAAGGCTGCCAGATGTGCATGTCAAATCCGGCAAGGTAATGAAAATATTCCGGGTAGAATTACAACACTGGTCACACCTGAGTGACAGGTCCTGCTTGCCTTTTGGACCTGCACACGGCTGCCAGATATGCGAGTGGGTATGAGTATTTAATGAAGTTGTGTGTATTGAGAGTGTATGTGTGTATTTGTCAGAAAAGAGAAAAAGGGGGGGAAAGAAAAGAGAGAAAAAAATATTATTGCTTGGTGTCAGTCATCCTCTTCTCCCATAAGGGGTGCTATACCCTCCTGGACATTGAAATAAAGCTTTCAAGCTTCAGGGTTTAAAATAGTACCTCAAGGCCACTAATACAGGGACGCCAAATATGTTACCCTAACATTTAGATGCCAATTATGTTACTTACAAATTTGTCTAATTTAACCAAAGGGTAACAAGGTTGTGGCCTGCCCTAAAGGAATTGCCAGGGGTTACCAGGGAACTTGTCTGTGACCCACTGAGGGCACCCCAGAGCACGTTAGTCTTGCTAACCCCTGAAAGGACACGGCTACAGCCTTCGGCTCAAGGATAGACGCACAAGCAGTAATTCTTTGAAAACAAAATAATTTTTTATTTAAAAAAAAAGTGGTTACATTGTATTTAATAAAGCAAGAAAGAATATATAGAACATAGTAAAATGCAATAGAATTACATTTAAAGGATTGTATAGTTAAAGTGGCACAACAAAATAAAAGACACAGACTGCATAAGATATCTAATACATACAGAAAATGCAGTAGTTTCAATGTAACTTGCATATAAAGAGCCCGTATACACAAAGGCTTTTAGTCTGTTACAATCTAACCCCGTACTTAATACCTTGTGGCATACGTAGTCTCTGTATACACATATGAGAAACCATCTTTTTCACAGACTAAAATAAAACATTTACTTTAACACTAACATTAACACTTAAAACTAAACATTTAACATCCTGTAAGTGCTGGCCAAGCAGTTGCAAAACAAGTAGGGGAGATCTTACTCAAGATGCAGGCATCCAGCTTTATTTACAGACAGACCCATACACTCTTAAATAATAGGTAGAAAAGATCAGACTTACACTTCTGTTCAAATTCCCTCTGTACCATCTAATTTGGTCCTTCTGATCTGTCTAATCTCTGGAGTGTTGCTTCAACAGCTGCAGTCTCTTCGAGCTGTGATGTAGTGGCCATTGCTGCTGGCAAGGTAGCTGAGGTGTCTCGCTACTCCTGCTCTTCTAGAAACCCCAAAAACCCACTACAGTCTCAGCCTGCCAGCTGTCAGCCTTATATACTGGTTGCTCTTTCAAGATCAGCTCCTCTCAGCCAATCAGCTTCTAGCTTTCTAGCTCCTCCCCGGATGTCATACTTATTTTAGACATAGAGCTCCTCCCCCTGATGCCATCTTGCGTAAAAGCTTCTCCCTGTAACCTGAGCCCCTTCCAGCACCCAAACCCCCTCCTAGAGCTTGCACCCTGCACCCCAACCCTCTGCCCCAGGCTCAGCCCAGAGCCCCCTCCCACACCGAACCCCTTGGCCCCAGCCCAGAGCCCGCACCCCCTCCCATATTCCAACCCCCTGCCTGGTGAAAGTGAGTGAGGGTGGGGGAGAGTGAGTAGGGCGGGGCCTCTGAGAATGGGCAGGGAAGGGGGCGGGGTAAGGGTGTTTGGGTTTGTGTGATTAGACAGTTGGCAACCCTAGTACAGACGCATGGGGGACACCACTACCGCTCTCCATTCTGAAAACTGACCATTTATTCCTACCCTTTGTTTCTGATTTTACCAGTCCATGAGAGGACCTTCCCTCTTATCCCATGACAGTTAGGGGGCTTGTTCCTTCATCCTCTCACTTCCCTGGTCCTTCTCACATGAACAGAGAGCAACAATACCCGAAGTCCGAAGGTGCAAACAATTCGATGTTTATTGGGGTGAACTTCCAGCAAGCATGATTCCAGTTTCCTTGCTCAGTGTCCCCCTTCCCAGCTCTGACACCACAGAGCCTTGCCTGTGTCCCTGTTCCCATTTCCCCCACCTTAGCGAAACTTGATTCCAATTCCCCCCCCTTACTTCCTGATTGACTGCAGAGTATATAATAAAACTTGAGTTCTGCTTAGCTATACATTAACCAATCATTTTACTGAAATTTAACTAACCAGTCCTAACATATTGTAACGATTATTTAACCAATTATATCCCACCACCTTAATTGGTTTACACCCAACAAACTTAATTATGCAGCAGACAGAAACAATCACAGAACCAGACAGAGATTATATAGACAAACAATAGGGAAGTGGGGACTATAGTGATAGAACAATACAGAAATGAGGATTTCACATCCCAGCTATTGATAAGTGAGTTCTTGCCTGACAAGATGCTATCAAACTAGGTTTCCTTTTACATCTTCTAGGCCAGGGGTAGATAACCTATGGCACACGTGCCAAAGGCGGCACGCAAGCTGATTTTCAGTGGCACTCACACTGCCTGGGCCCTGACCACTGGTCCGGGGGGCTCTGCATTTTAATTTAATTTTAAATGAAGCTTCTTAAACATTTTAAAAACCTTATTTACTTTACATACAACAATAGTTTAGTTATATATTTTAGACTTATAGAAAGAGACCTTCTAAAAACGTTAAAATGTATGACTGGCACGCAAAACCTTAAATTAGAGTGAATAAATAAAGACTCGGCACACTACTTCTGAAAGGTTGCCGACCCCTGTTCTAGGCTCTTCCCTTTCTCTGGAGGTGATAGGAATACAATCCTGTCCTGATATTCCTAACAGCCCAATAGCACCTTATTTCAATGTGACTAGTTTGGAATGTAAGGATGTGACCATTCACTTCCCCGCTTATGGCTGCCTCTGCTGCTTAGCCTAAGAACAAGGCCTCAGCCTGTCACAGTAAGAGAAGGCCTTACACAGACAGACAGGGCCGGATTAATCTTTTGTGGATCTGGTGCCAAACATATTTGTGGGCCCCCATCAGGGCCCCCTGGGGGGGGCAAGTGGGGCAATTGGCCCCGGGCCCTGCAGGGGCCCCCACGAGAGTTTTTCAGGGCCCCTGGAGCGGGGTCCTTCACTCGCTCCGGGGGGCCCAGAAAACTCTCGCGGGGCCCGGGCCCCCGGAGCTGCTTCTGCTCCGGGTCGTCGTCAGCAGTTCGGCGGCAGGGGGTTCTTCCATCCCGGGATCCGCCGTCGAAGTGCCGGGTCTTCGGCAGCAATTTGGCGGCGGGGGCCCCCTGCCGCCAAAG